GTGTACGGTTTTGCAGGCTGCTGCGTTCTGGTGAAGACAGTGTTTTGAGTAATTTCTAAAGTCAAGCCGCTGATGCGCGCTTTTTTCTGTCCTGCCATATCAAATTATCCTTCCGTGTACTACGTGGCACCTCCGAGTGGAGTGGGTTGCTGTATTGCAAAGGCGGACAGGCATACGGCTCCTGTACTGTATATAGCAAAGGTGCATAGCATGCGTTGCCAACTGCGCACTGCATGAGAAACTATATACTGTAGGAAAGTTTTTCTATGGAATTTGCTGTAGAAACTGGCAGGACTCTATGAAATAAGAAAGTTTTGCTAAAGTCTACAGTACCAAATTTGACATCTGGACCTCCAATACGATGCATTCAGCGTCATATAGATGCCTGACGCACAGAGCGAGCAGTCAACTGGGCGGGCCAGCAGCAAACGGTATCTGTAGCAAAACAGTGGAAATTCCCCAAAAAAAAGAAAACTCCGCATGCGGAGAATTGAGCATGGCAAATCCTGCTCTCATGTGCACGAGACTAGCAACTAGATAGAGCGAGCTTTCTTGATTAACCAGCAGCGCGGAATGTTAAGAACCACGGACGGTTTTGAACGTTTTTTGAAATTTTGAACGTGATATAAACAAGATTTCTTTTTCAAAATTGTGTACAAAATTTTGAAAATGCGAACAATTAAATCAAAATACGCACAGTTTTTGGGAATGGAACATGTTTTGAATTATGAAATCATTTTGGAAAATGAGAACAAAAATTTAAATTCTAAACAAAATTTGAAACTGAGAATTTTTTTGGAAAATCCAAACTTTTTGGAAAACCCAAAAAATTCGGAAAACTTGAACAAAATTTGAAAATCCGATTTTTTTAAAACATTAAAAAATTCAAAATTCTGATTTTTTTGGAACCACAATTTTTTTAAATGTCACCATATTTAATTTAAGAATAATGAACACATTTTTAAGCATGTTAAACATTTTATAACTATGCAATTTTAAAAGAGAAAAAATAAAAAGGAATAAAATGCAGAAAAAAGAGAAGCAAAAAAACACGGTTCATGAACCATATAGTAGGTTTCCAAACCGGTAAAAACCGTCCTAGAACCATCTAGAAAGGTTCCCAAAATATGGATCTGCAGAGGCAACTAACAGACTAAAATGGGCCGGCTCATGTTTACTTGTATTGAAAGGGCGACTGGCGTAATAAGCTTCAAATAGGGTTTTTCTTTGGAATCGTCCAACTGACTGCAGTGTCGTCAGGGCCCGCATTCCTGCCCAAGCAAAATACAAGCTGGGCCAGAGCTTAACTTATTCTGTGACTGTAGCGCCAATTCTTATTCTTTTCCTAACTTAGCACACCCACCCCAGTTCTCTAGGAGGTACTTGGGTCGCGGCGACTATATATCGCATTAAGCGAGGTCAAAGGATTTCTCTCACTGAAGGTTTCTGTTTCTGGCGTAGCAACTGTGCCGGCCCACTTAATAAACGAAATAGTGAAAAAAGGAGGGAAGTAATGGGGATCGAACCCAGGTGTACTACAATACCTAGCGACGATAGCCAATGGGCCTTTATCGAGTTCCTGGTGAAATAAAGGGCGCGGGCTACTTAATATAAAAGAGCCGTTTTTCACCACCGTTTTCCCCTCTTATTCTGTTTTTCCGGGTTCTTTTTTCCTTTTCTCTTTTTTATCTTCCGGATTTTTTCATTCTTTTTGCATATGTTCTTCAGTTTTCTTTTTCTTTTTCTTTTTTTTCTTTTGTGTATTCTTCGCTTCTTGTTTCATTTAATTTTTTTCTTTCATTCTACATTTTTTGTATATGTCAACAACTTTTTCTAATACACGTTTAACTTTTTTCCAATACAAATTTAACATTTTTCTAATACATATTCAACATTTTGAATATTTTTGAAATTTTTCATTAACATTTTTAAAATACAAGATTAACATTTTCTGAATACATGGTCAACATTTTTCCTATACACACTTTCAAGCTTTTTCAAATGCTTGATTAAAATTTTAAAAATACAAGATTAACATTTTCTAATACATGTCAATATTTTTCTACGCACGTTTCAAATTTTTTCATATGCTTGATTAACTTTTTCTAAATGTAATATTAATATTTTTTAACACATGGTCAACATTTTTTCTATACACATATACCACTTTCCAAATTATTTGTTAACATTTCTTCAAATACTTGATGAATTTTCTAAATGCAATATTAACATTTTTTAACACATTGTCTACAACATTGTTTTCGAAATTCTTGATTAACATATTTGAAATACTTGTTCAACATTGTTTTCAAATGCTTGATTACAGTTTTTTATATACATCGTCAATAAATTTCATCATTTTTTATTACATTGTCACATTTTTTCTATACGCATTTAGCATTTTTTAAATGCTTGATTTATATTTTTTATATAAATATTAAAAATTCATCATTTTTAATACATGGTCAAACATTTTTCTATACATATCAACATTTTAAAATTCTTGATCAATGTTTTTTAAATTCTTGGTCAAAAAAATTCGAATCTCCGATTAACCTTTTTGTAAATATGATCAATTTTTATACATAATAAACATTTCTATACACACATTTAACATTTTAAAAATACTTGGTCAACATTTTAAAATATTTTTATGAGCATTTTCTGTAAAATATATATTTAGACTATTTTAAATTATAAACAAAAGTGAGAAATGCAATGTGAAAAACGAAAACGAAAATGTAAAATAACTGAAAAAGGAGTCAGTGGCCTCTGCCGCTCCTGGCAGGCCCATCTTGGTCTCACGTTCAGCGAGTTTTCCCTAGGTCTTGCTGAATGCGAGATATAGGGGTGCCCTACTTGGGTTGCCTGCCCATAATCCCCACCCCGTGGCAATCATCTAGGATGTTCCCCTGGTTTTTTAGGTGGGGTTTTCTCTAGTTTTTTTAAGTTTCCTTTTACCCTTTTTGTATATTTTTGCTTTTCCTGTCCTTTATCTTTTCGGTTTTTGTTTCTCCTTTTTATTTTCCAAATGATAACGCCCACACGTGTGGCATGTTTGCACATCACCCACACGCCTTGATCCACGTTGATTCTATTTTGCACGAATCTTAAAAGAATCTGTTAGAATCTGAGTGACACGTGGGCATCATCATGTTTGTGGGCGTTGGAGAGTTCGCCCACACGTTCCGCAGCGTGCAGTTTGCTAGCTGCGTTGTGTGGACGAACTAGTTTCTGCTCGCACAACCACCATCTAGTCCACGCGCGTGTGGGGCGAGCTGCTTTTCACCCACACGATACTCGTATGTTGTTGGATGGCAACTGCAGTTGCGCGTATGTGATAACTAGGTAAACACACATGGCAACTATGATTCATTGCTAGACGGCAACTGCAGTTGCGCATACGTGGCAACCAGGTTAAACACACATGGTAACGGTGATTAACCATACATTATAACTATGGTTGGACCACACATGACAACTAGGTAAAAACACATGGCAATTATTGTTTGACCATATGTGGCAAGTAGATAATCACACACTTCAACTATGGTTTGATTACACGTGGCAACTACCATAAATTAGACATGACGATCATAGTTAATCAAAACAGAGAGAGTTGTCATGCTTTTACAACTGCATTTGCAATCCCGGATAACTACATCTGCCATTTCGGATGGCAACTAAACATCATCCCGCAGATACCTAATGTAGCTGCGGCATGACGTGTGGGCATATTTGCTTCGTGCCACACGCACAGGGTGGAGATGAGTAGTACTTGTTGAGCGTGTGGCATGAAGTAGCTGCCCGCACATGTGGGCAATTCTAATATTCGCCCACACACAGCTCGTGTGGGTTGTCTCTTGCTCACGCCACACACGGTGTGTGGGCGGATGTCTAGTATGCCACACGTATGGACGTTATCAGGACCCTTTTATGTTTGTCTGTAATTCAAATTCGTGAAATCTTTTTCATATTTCATATTTGCAAACTTTCTTTAAGTTCTTCAACTTTTTTTAAGATTATGACTCGCAGACTTTTTCAAATTCATTAATTTTTCCAACTCCCGAATTTTTTCGAAAATTGTGAGCCCTTTTTTGCAAATGTTGTGAAATATTTAAAATTCATGAACTTTTTTCAAATCCGTGAATATTTTTTAAAAAGAAAAGTTTTATACCCATGAACTATGCATCGTACGATGCATATAACCAACCTTATTACATTGTTTACTACTACAAAGATATGAAACTTTGATATTGCAAAAAGTAAAGAATTATAAAGAAAATAGACAAAGTAAGAAAAGTATGCCAAACATCTTATAAAATGTGTTCCCCCATAAACATTAATATCGAAGAAATAGTTTTTTTAAATGATATTTAACAAATACATTGATGAACTTTATACATATGTGCAAGTTATCCTGAAGGAAAATCATTCCTAATGCTCTGTGAAAAAAATCATTTACCCAAAATGCTTTCAAAAATAGTAGGAGCATCGATTTTATTTTATTTTCAGAGCATTTAGGAATGCTTTTCTTCATAATAATTTGTACTCCCTTCGTCCCAAAATAAGTGTCTCAACTTTAATACAACTTTGCAATGTTTGTTGCAGAAAAAAAAGCAAATTTTCTTTTTCTACTATTCTTTTAAATTTTACTGATCATGGGTGAGCATTTGAGTTTGGGGGCAGAAAGTCCGTGCCCATTATTTTGGGCATAGATTTATTCGACTTTAATGGATACGTTAAATCTAGTCCATAGAAAATATTTCATGCTCACAGCGTGGCACCATAGTATACCTTTAAGAACAATATTTACCTCATGGAAAATATTTCATAAGTACACATAGGAACACAACAAATATAGAAGTTTATATCAGAAAAGTAATATTTTTTTCATAAAATTTAAATATTACTGTCTGAGCTTAGCAAAGCTCATATTACAACTTTATTTAGTGGACCAACCTGCGGCTGGCTAACTTTGGCATCAGCCAGTAGCTGTTTCACGCCAGGCGGTGCTCAACCGGATCAAGCGTGGTTGGTGCAACCGCCGGGTCTCTCAGTATGGCTTCAAGATCTCCATCTTTCTCACCCAGGGCAGCATTCAGAAATGCCACCATGATCCCAGCAACGCACCTCCGCATCTTGCCCTTGCACCCGTTCCCATCCTTGCAGACGCAGGTGATGAACTTGGGGGCGTCGTCGTCCAGCATGTCCAGATGCCCGTAGTCCTTGGTCACAAAATAGTAGCAGGGCGGCCTGCACTCGCGGTAGAACTCGGCGTGGTTCACGTCCTTGGGTGCGCAGGGAGGGAAGAATATGTTCTTCTTCTCCTCGCCGAGCCCGGTGCCGATGACCAGCACCGGCATCGCCATGTCGAAGGAGGAGGGCTCGTAGGTGAGGATCTTGGGCTGGAGCTGGGAGGACTTCCCTGTGCCGGCGACAGGGTCGAGACCGATGAGCGCGGAGAAGGTTAGCTGGGTCTTGGCATGCCCCATGGCCAATGAGAAAGCCGTGTGGCCTCCTCGGCTGTGGCCGGCCAAGGCGAGCTTCGAGAGCTCCGGCTCGACGCCTTTGGGCAGCACGGACGGGAGACCGTCGGGGAGCCAGTCTGCCACCTTGGCTGCTGCGGCGATGTCCTCGGCGTCACCTGAAGGTATGATACTGATGCTGAACTGCACTACAAAATGTTGCAGAATTAGTTAGTTGATCACCACAAGCTAGCATACAGAGTTACAACAGATCATCTTCTGAGAGAGACTTGAGGTAATTTCTATGTGTTTTTCTTTCTCTGAAAGGAGATTTAAACCCTCTTGTCTCTGCATCATTGTTGAGGTAATTTCTGTATACATGTGAAGTGAAGATGGTAGCGATCGACCTGGGGTGCGACAATGATGAAGCCGTGGGATGCCACGTGTCGAAGAAGGTGTTCGTAGAAGTGGTTATGGAGGAAGAAGCCGTGCAAGAGCATGGCGACGGGGTAGGTTCCCGCATCCTTTGGTGCGACGATCAGCACCGGGATCGGTGGTGTCGGCGCCGCATTCTCATCCACCTGAATCGCCTCGACCGCAAGCTTCCCCGGCTGGAACACCGAGGTGACCGCCTCGAGAACCTCGGCGTCGGGCTTGTTCATCGTCTCTGCGGGTGCTGCTGCTGCCATCTCTCACTCAAGCTCAGGGCACCAACTCTCTGTCTTAACGAGTGCTTTGAGGCTGCGATGATGATAAGAGAGGACCAAGGTGGCAAATTTATAGGAGGGTGGATGTTAATTGTGGCTAACTTTGGTCACTAGTCCAAAATCAATTCGCTTGGGAAATGAGAAGAACGTGTTGGAGAAATGCAGGCTTTGAATGCACATGTACAATTCCACATGCATGAATAAGACTGATTCCATCTAACTGCATTTGTTCATTGAATTGTCCCCCATCCCATCACTTCAGGATACACAGTATAGATGGGATCATGGCCTCATGGGAGTGAGCTGGCCAGCTCACTCCATCTTGTTAATTTCTGTATGCATGATTCGTATTTTTCCTGTAAATTTCGCTTCTCTGTGGTTCCATATCATGAGAACTCTGGGAGAGAGCTAAGAAGTAGGATTGTGCAACAAGATTTTGTATGTACTTTGTTTTCAGCAGTAATTCTATCCAGAGAACATATATGCCACCAGATCAGATCTGCTCCTCTCTGAAACAGGAGAACTGTTATGATTGATTTAGTCCTTGATCAAAATCATATACGCGTACAAGAATTTCATAGTGCTGTGTATCCGATTCGCTTGTCCACGATGTTAACTCACAGTTACCATTGTAGAAGGCTATAAGCGAACCTGTTAGCATCACGTACATGGGAATGCAAAGTGCAGTAATCATCTGTTCAACCGAGGCATCTGAGCTTCGAAAGCTGTATAGAATGAAGTTAAACCAGTTAGAATTGCTTGAGCTTTTTATGTGTTTTGAATATCATGTCCTGGTCACTCCATTAACAGGACTCTTTCGGATTCTCACCGTTTTGTCGGTGATGTTCGTGGCTGGCTGGTTTGTTGTGCACATCTATTTCCACCCCTTCTCATGGCTGTAGATCCAAATTAGCACAAAATAGGGCTAGCTGCTAGCTGTGGAGCTTTGTGTGTACTTCACTGATTTACGCCTTTAATAAGATTCTCTTATCGACAGTGCGATAGTACTCTCGGTGATGTGTGTGGCTGGCCGTTTTATTGTGCACATTTATTTCCACAGTTCGGCACTTGATGCTTCCTGATAGATGTAGCTCCCTACCTGAATATATTACCACCGAACCAGCAATGTTTTACATTACAAGAGAGGATCAAGCATAGAAGAAAGGTAGCTTTCCCAGGACCTGGCCGTGTCGGTGACGCAGTGTCTTTGAATCTAAAGATGCAGAGTGAGAAGTTAAATACAATGTTCCTAGTCGTGGTGCTTGAGAGATGATGCTCGTAGAGGAAGATGAGCGCATTGCGTGAGTCCCAAAATTTCCAGAGGATGGTGAGAGCAACGGAGGGCGAGATGTTGGGGTCAAAGCCAAGGGGCGATGCAATCGCCCAAATTCTGTCGAGGGAGGTGGGTGTTGAATGCCCAAATGAATCCACACCTAAGCGGCGATTGGGCAGCATCCTCGCATGGGCCGTCGCATTTGGGGCATGCATCAGAGTCTACAATATGTTTGTGATGCAAGTTTTCCTTTGAGTTGGCCCTATCTTTTAAAAGTAGCCACCCAAAGATCTTGGCCTTAATGGGAAAGGCCAAATGTAGTCATGATTGCGGTCGATGTAGGAGTGATGGTGTTTTATGTGTTCTTCGACGTGAACGGTGGCCCATGAGTGAGAGACCGCTCATCATCTTGCTCCCTAGGTTCGAATTGCTACATCAGAGACAACATAATAGCCAACTAGCCAGAATCACCTGTAGTAATACGAATCCCTAGGTTAGTCAATAAGTCAAACTGCCAAATAGTAGCCACTAGAACATTGTCATTGGTGGAGTGGGAGAAAAGATGCGAGAAAGCTGTTTTTAGTGGTGTGTTTAGTGCTACCTCCCATCAAAACTCTATTACGACAAGTGACGCACATGTGGTGCACCATTTGTCACCACTATAGAAGGTGTGAGTGACCTTTACAAAGTGTACCCTATAATAAGTGATTTCAACAGTTTTCTGCTTCCAAAGCTCACATTTGTAGTAGTTTGTGCGGATCAATATCAATATACTCTCAAGAGCTCTCAAATGTTCTAAAAATAGTATTAGTATGCGTCGCATTTTCTCGCAAGCCATCCTTCTAGCAACAAAACTACTATTTACAATCTTCGAGCTACGTTGATTGACATTCAGTTCTCTCTGTGCATGTTAGTCGATAGAAAGCCTTCGAGGTATTATTTTTTCTTTTTTTTTAACCGAAACCGTAGAGCAATCGTTCTATGGAAATTTCATTAAAAATAGTGTACAATATATACAAAGTTAGCCCATAGAAACAATCAACCCACTCCCTCCTTATTAAACCCTGAGGCTATCATGGATATTAATTCAAATTCTGTTCAATCCAACTGGAAAATTGATCTCTGAATTTAGTTTTGACTCTATGCAGAAGCAGAAGCAGATCTGCCTTGAGGTTGCTTTTCCACGCTTGGACTGTTGCCTCTTTTGCCTTGAATATCTTCCCATTCCTTTGCATCCAGATGTTCCAGCAACCCATGATTATGATTTCCATGGCAATGTGGACCGGTAGAGCTTGAATGGCAATTGGAACTTCATCAAAAATTGAGATACCTCTGTTTCTAGGACCCAGGATGGAGTGCCAACAATTAAACGCAAAGTCACAATCCCAAAAGAGATGCTAAGAAGTTTCATTAGTGTTCATTTGACAGAGTGCACAGCTGTAGGAAGGTAAGTAAAACGTCCTTCTTTGGAGCATATTTCTGGTATTGACTCTGTCATGGAGTAAGAGCCAGAAAAAGATCTTATATCTTAGCATAGCTGCATTTTGTTGGAAATATGCCCTAGAGGCAATAATAAAAGTATTATTATTATATTTCCTTGTTTATGATAATTGTCTTTTATTCATGCTATAACTGTATTATCCGGAAATCGTAATACACGTGTGAATACATAGACCACAATATGTCCCTAGTGAGCCTCTAGTTGACTAGCTCGTTGTGATCAACAGATAGTCATGGTTTCCTGGCTATGGACATTGGATGTCGTTGATAACGGGATCACATCATTAGGAGAATGATGTGATGGACAAGACCCAATCCTAAGCATAGCACAAAGATCGTGTAGTTCGTTTGCTAGAGCTTTGCCAATGTCAAGTATCTCTTCCTTTGACCATGAGATCGTGTAACTCCTGGATACCGTAGGAGTGCTTTGGGTGTATCAAACGTCACAACGTAACTGGGTGACTATAAAGGTGCACTACGGGTATCTCCGAAAGTATCTATTGTTTTATGCGGATCGAGACTGGGATTTGTCACTCCGTGTAAACGGAGAGGTATCTCTGGGCCCACTCGGTAGGACATCATCATATGCGCAATGTGACCAAGGAGTTGATCACGGGATGATGTGTTACGGAACGAGTAAAGTGACTTGCCGGTAACGAGATTGAACAAGGTATCGGTATACCGACGATCGAATCTCGGGCAAGTAAAATACCGCTAGACAAAGGGAATTGTATACGGGATCGATTGAGTCCTTGACATCGTGGTTCATCCGATGAGATCATCGTGGAACATGTGGGAGCCAACATGGGTATCCATATCCCGCTGTTGGTTATTGACCGGAGAACGTCTCGGTCATGTCTGCATGTCTCCCGAACCCGTAGGGTCTACACACTTAAGGTTCGATGACGCTAGGGTTATAAAGGAAGCTTGTATGTGGTTACCGAATGTTGTTCGGAGTCCCGGATGAGGTCCCGGACGTCACGAGGAGTTCCGGAATGGTCCGAAGGTAAAGATTTATATATAGGAAGTCCTGTTTCGGCCATCGGGACAAGTTTCGGGGTCATCGGTATTGTACCGGGACCACCGGAAGGGTCCCGGGGGCCCACCGGGTGGGGCCACCTGCCCCGGGGGGCCACATGGGCTGAAGTGGGAAGGGATTCAGCCCAAAGTGGGCTGTGGCGCCACTTCCCTCATGGCCCATGCGCCTAGGGTCAAAGGGGAACCCTAAGGAAGAGTCCTAGGAGGGGAAGGCACCTCCTAGGTGCCTTGGGGGGGAGGGAATCCTCCCTTGGCCGCCGCCCCTTTCCCATCTAGGGCTGGCCGCACCCCTTGGGGGTGGGAAACCCTAAAGGGGGCGCAGCCCTCCCCTCCCCCTATATATATTGAGGCATGGGGCTGCCCATAACACGCGATTTGATCTCTCGTTAGTGCAGCCCTGCCCCTCTCCCTCCTCCTCTTCTCCCATGGTGCTTGGCGAAGCCCTGCGGGATTGCCACGCTCCTCCACCACCACCACGCCGTTGCGCTGCTGCTGGATGGAGTCTTCCTCAACCTCTCCCTCTCTCCTTGCTGGATCAAGGCGTGGGAGACGTCACCGGGCTGTACGTGTGTTGAACGCGGAGGTGCCGTCCATTCGGCACTTGATCATCGGTGATCTGAATCACGACGAGTACGACTCCATCAACCCCGTTCACTTGAACGCTTCCGCTTAGCGATCTACAAGGGTATGTAGATGCACTCTCTTTCTACTCGTTGCTGGTCTCTCCATAGATAGATCTTGGTGACACGTAGGAAAATTTTGAATTTCTGCTACGTTCCCCAACAGTGGCATCATGAGCTAGGTCTATTGCGTAGATTCTTTGCACGAGTAGAACACAAAGTAGTTGTGGGCGTTGATGTTGTTCAATATGCTTACCGTTACTAGTCCAATCTTGTTTCGACGGTATTGTGGGATGAAGCGGCCCGGACCGACCTTACACGTACTCTTACGTGAGACAGGTTCCACCGATTAACATGCACTTGGTGCATAAGGTGGCTAGCGGGTGCCAGTCTCTCCCACTTTAGTCGGAACGGATTCGATGAAAAGGGTCCTTATGAAGGGTAAATAGCAATTGGCATATCACGTTGTGGTCTTGCGTAGGTAAGAAACGTTCTTGCTAGAAACCCATAGCAGCCACGTAAAACATGCAACAACAATTAGAGGACGTCTA